AATGCAATCAGTAGAGATGATTCTGGGAAATCTTCTAGGATTTAAACAATAAAACATCTTAATTTTCAGAGGTAGCAAAAACATATTTTAGAGAATCAGTATAACTTAGCCTGTACTCCTCTGATCTAAAATATATTTTATACACCCAAGCAATGGTTTCTAAGTAAGAAGCCCGAATTTGTCTGAATAAGCCCTATATAAAACAGTACACGTTTTCCCATCAAGTGCATGAACATACAAGTAAATTAATATATAATTAATATACATTGTAATTGACAAGATAAAAGTCCATCGCTTTGAATATCAAAACCTTAGAATAGGAAAGTAAAGGTTTGTTAACTTAACAAAGGAACTATAGAAAAATTTCCGAAAATATTACGTTAAAATCTTGAAGGAAATAATTATAACACATAAAGGGTTAGTGTTGACATATTTTCAAATGTAACAGACAAGAGAGATGTTTTAAACCCACCAATAATATGAGGTTATTACGAGAATACCTCAAAGTATGCACGAAGACAGTACAGATGGAGTATCGACCGACTGTGTAGCCCGGTCAAACTTTGGTGGCAACCATGTTTGTTTGTATTATTAGAGGACACTTACGCGCATAATCATTCCATATTTGGAATTCACCCCCATAAAATACCACAAAATTACGGCACGCTGTAACCTATGACGTTACGGTGACAGATGTATAATAATGTAGTTTGCTGGTGGTTTAATTTAGCCAGAATTTATTTTTTTCTGAAAACCATAAATTGGGTTGACACATATAAATTGTCATAAAGTCAAGGTGAATATTAATAGGGGATTTTCCGTACAATTGCGAGATCTCGCGAGATGTATGAAAAACGCACGTCGAACGTCTGCCACAAAAATCGAACGATTTGATTTTGAACGAGAATTTCTTTATTTCGTAACTCACATCGACCGGCCGATCTTCGACAGAGGAATATTGCTTCCGAATACCCTTACTTAATCAAAATTGCCTATCATCAAATGTGGACAGCACATTATTAAGCATGGAAATGTTCCCCAAAATACTTTGCGTTTGTCGAATCCCACGCAATGTTTGACGTCACTACGACGCTATGACCTTTGTTTGTTCTGTTTTTATGTTCGATTTCACGCATAACGCGTGATTCTCGCAGTGAACGGAAAATGGTCTATTAAGAAAACATTTTTTTCCCTGTATTCTATTTCCACCGATTTTTATATTTAAACTCATGAATTATATACGCAGACATGCACTTTATATATGTGCATCTTTCTTTTAAGAAATGACATTAAGTATAATTAAATTACCAGTACAGACATAATATAATGAACAATCGTATATACATGTACACAAGATTTGAACTGATGATCACATCAAAGTGCTTCATCATTGTAAGCAAACGTGCACTTCCCTAGTGTATATGTTTTTATATAAAATTTATAATCACTTATCACTATTTGTCCCAACCAAAATGTGGGTTATGTTATACACAATTTTTGTGTGTTTGTGTACTTTTCTCTGTATATAAATTTATTCCTTATTTTTTGGATCAAATGAAGATACATTCCCAATTGACTACAGTACGAAATGCGATAAATGGATGCAATTTCATTGTATGCCAATAGTTAACTTTGGAATTTCAAGAGGTTAATCCGGTAATACCACTATATTTGTTGTTAATGTTTGTAAGTACCCGTTTGTTTAAGGGTTTTCTTAGAAGACATCTGTAGGCCAGTTAGCCATAATGAATTATTGACCGCAGACTTTTCTACTGTGTGTGAAAAATTTCACCCGCCAATTTTTTTAATTTGGCCAGGCCAAATGCAGTTGCGGGTTTGCATCAAAAAGTATGTATGTGTAATTTTTAGTAGATTTGATGTTGCAGGAATAATTCAATATAGGTTTTTCAATTCAGTGTTGTGAAGGGAACAGTACGGTATAATCTATGGTTAACATATTATTACTGTAAAATCATTTATTTTCACTCGCATTACACTATTTTGGTGTTTTCAGCAATTTCACAAACTTTGCTAGGAAACAATGAGTTCTACTGTTTTTTTTTCATGTTTTCATAGATTTAATTTAGCGAATTTCATTTATCGGGAAATATAGTCAAATTAAAACCCAGTGAATAATTAATGTGTTTACAGTAACTGGGATCTAATTTCAAAAGATACATGTATCAGTGGTTTATTACTTGAAGCAAAAATAAATCTCAGCTAGTAGTAATTTTATTTTCTGGAGTACGGGAAATGACATGAAATGAACTGAAATAATTCAATGCAATCTCATTACGCGGCCAATCATACTTACCTTTTTCAGCGCTTGTTCCTAATAATGGCAGCGACAATAAATTTAAACAAATTGTACATGCGTGAAAATCAAAGCATTAATGATTCAGCATGAAAAAACAGAGTTTAATACTATAAGTACTTTTTTACTACGTTCACATGTACCAATAATGACTAGCCATTAATACAATACACAAAACAAAGACACAAATTTCTAAATATAAATTAAAAAAAAAACAATTGCTGTAATAAAAAAAGATAAACAGGTATATATGACATTTTATAAATCCCTCAAAATCACCCTGAATATTTCTGAGACAGTTAAAGGAAAGACAATAATTACGGATACAGGAAGTGATCGAGTAAGTTAGCTGATCACAGCAGGAATACCTGTCATGATTATTTGATATTTTATCAGCGCAATCAAACAATTTGACGTGGTGCAGGACTGACGATATAACTCTCTCAAGAATTGAATTTTTTTTTAATGATCCCCAATCAGTAATTCACACCTGCTGACGCGACACTCAATGTGTACGCTCGTGGGAAACGCTGTGCACTCGTGGGAAACGACAAGCATGCATGGGAGACAAAAGAGTTGAGAAACCTTAAACCGTAACACATGTCATGACAGGTTTGAAGAAAAAACCATTAACAACCACACAGAATTAAATCTAAAACCTATTAACAAATTGGCAAGAAATTAATCTGTCTTTTTTTTTTATTTGTTCCACTATCAAATGATTAAACTAGGACAAGGATATAATTGTATAGAGAAAATTTCATTCACAAAACCGAAATTTCCATAATTAATCAACAATTAACATATATAATGTGCATTACACTATTTCAGACGAAAAATACCGGTACTCAACAAATATTCCTTCAAATTTTTAAACTTTTTTTTCACCAAAATATTGGTGCAGCATTTTAATTATTTTTTGAATTTTTCTTTTTCTAATTTAGGTTTTCAAAAAACTGGAAAAAAAATATATGAAAAATCTTATGAAGGTTAATTTTTTTGAAAATTAACAACAAAAGTTGACTTTGGGCGATCAATGATCACAACAGGAAAAACAAAAGAAAGCAAAACACAAAATAACACACATAAAATAAGCAGCATACTTGGCATGCAGGTAAGATTCAGTTAATTCAATAATATTGTTAGGAATGACTTTTTATTAACTCAAAAAGTTAAGAATGGACTAATCGCCTAGATTTTAGTAGAGATGTGGATCTGGTTGGCATGGAAACAAAAATTTTGGGGAAAAATAACTCAAATGGTTACAAATAAAAAAAAA